GATTCTAAGACATGAGGAAGTTTGGGAGCCACTGGTCACTGGTCAAGAAAGGCCTTCCTCACCTAAATGTTTTGTTTCATTTTACTCTTTTTGGTATTTGGTATAAACAACAGAACTACTTTTCCTCCCCAATCCCCATTGAGTTATGATGCTTCCTTTGTCCCATATTGGTTTTTATAAACACATTCAGATTTACCTCTGTGCTTTCTTCTAAAGCTTTTCTGAGTTGTATTTCACAAATCACAAAATTCACTCATTGAAAGTGTGGTTTTCTACACTTGTGATTAGTCACAAGACTGTGCATATTTAGTTCCTTAAATCTGATTTTAGTTACTTTTGTCCTTGGTGAGACTGCCTGCACGTTTGTCAATTCTGATTCTTGACAAAGAACCAACTATAGGTTTCACTGTTCTTTTCTATTGGTGTTCTTCCCTTTATTTCATTATTTCTGCTCCAACCTTTATTACTTTCTTCCTTTCCCTTCCTTCAGGTTTAGCTGTTCTGTGAGGGGGCTGCTTCCAGGCCGGGGGCTGGCCCTGCCCCAGCCTGGTCTGGAAACTTTCAAGTGTCAGGCCACCTCCAGGTCCTTGACCCCCCACACCCCCAGGAAAGATTTCAAGGACAAATCAGAGTGCGAATAAAGCAAGTTTTATTCAAGTAGAAAAAGAGAGGCCACAGTGAGGGCAGAGCTGTGAAAGCAGCGAAAAGTACGCATCCAGGGGAATGTGAGCCAACTGGTGAGTTTGCGTATGCAGTCCATTAGTTCTTTCATGTTTCCAAGATTGTCTCCAAGCTTTGTGGTGCCAAATTCTGACACTGCCTTCTAGTTGGGAGACGGTTGTGTTCCTAATATGGTCGCTTCCGGTAGTGTCATGGTGTTTGTCCCACTCCGTCCCTGTCCCCCTTCTACTTGTGGTGTCAGTTTTCATTATAATGATGCTTCAATGAGCTTTGGTTGGTCTCTGGTGAATATTTCTTCCATCCTGGGATGATCTGGTTCTAGCCAGTCCTTGTTGTTCCCTCTACAACCAAAATAGGGGTTTCCTTGATGTTTTCTTTGATCATGCCCACAGGTGGGGGCTTTGGGGAGAAGATGTGGGCTCCTACTTCATTCCATTTGTCTGGATTTTTTTCCTAACGTCTTTATATCCTGCCTCAGTTTTTCTGGTTTCTTAGGTTATTAATTTGAGAAATCTATTTTAATACAGGCATTTACAGTTATAAATTTCCCTCTAGCAACATCCCTTAAGTTTTGGTAAGTTGTGCTTTCATTTTCTATGATCTCAAAGTCTTTTCTAACTTCCTTGATCCATAGAGTAAAGCTGTCTAATGTTTAATGTTAATGAGCTGACTTTTGGAAAGACCCCTAGGTAATCTAAGGATGGAGCTGGCTGTCTGGGGAACCCACCATGACCAGAGGGTAGGACCTCTGAGGAGGGGAAAGGGGCTGGATATTGAGCCCAATTACCAATGGTCAGTGATTTAATCAATCCTATGTAATGGAGAGTCCATAAAAACCCAAACAGATAGGGTTCGAGAGTTTCTGAGTTGCTGACTGTGTGGTGGTGCTGGGAGAGTGGAGCTCTTGGAGGGGACATGGAAACTCTGAGCCCTTTGCCCACACCTTAACCCATGCGTGTCTTGCATCTGGGTGCTCCCGAGTTATATCCTTTTATAATAAACCAGTGATCTAATAAGTAAAATGCTTCCCTGAGTTCTGAGAGCCATTCTAGCAAATTACCTGAACTCAAGGAGGGCGGATCATTGAAACCTACAATCTATAGCCAGTCGGTCAGGAGCACAGATGACTTCTGACTGGAGTTTGAAGTGGAGGGGGATTGGGGGTAGTATTCTGGGACTGAGCCCTCACCCTATCTCCAGCTATATAGTGTCTGAATTTATTGGAATTGTAGGATACCCAGCTAGTGTTGGAATTTGCTTGGTGTAAAGTGGGAGCAGAATCACATTCTTTAACTATAATTTTAAATGTATTCTCTTAGTGGCTGTTCTTGGGATTACAATTAGCATCTTAATTTTAAAAATCTACCTTGGACTCATACTAACTTAATTTCAGTAGTGGATAGTCAGTAGTTGCTCCAATGTCATACTTATGTTCCCTCCACACTATTTAGCGCTATTGTTGTCATACGAATTACATCTTTACATATTGTGAGTCCAATAACAGTTTTATATTACTTTAGGCAGTTGTATTTAAAACAGATAGAATTAAAAACAAACATAAGTTTATACTCTCTTTTTTAAAACCTATGTGGTTACTGTTAGGGTCGCCAAAGGAGAAACAAACATAGGAGGCCGAAAGGGGTAAAGAATTATGAATTTGCCCTGGCTGGTGTGGCTCAGTGGGTAGAGCGTTGGCCTGGGGACTGAAGCGTCCTGGGTTCCATTCTGGTCAAGGGCTCATGCCTGGTTGCAGGCTCAAACCCCAGTAGGGGACGTGCAGGAGGCAGCCGGTCCATGATTCTCTCTCATCATGGATGTTTCTCTCTCTCCCTCTCTCTTCCTCTCTGAAATCAATAAAAAAAATATATTAAAACAAAAAAAAAGAATTATGAATTTATTAGGTCATCTGGAAAACCAGATGGGCTGAGCCCCAAAATGGCGCCAGCCCCCAGGGACAGGGAGTCGGAGATCTTAAAGGACTCTGGGCGGGCTTTTCCTGGGCAGAGAATTCTCTGGGCGGTTCCTGAGGGAAAAGATAATGGTCTTAGCAAGTGGACTGTGGTCGTAGCAAGTGCTAAGCAAAAGGGAATGTCTGCTGTGAAGTGCTCTAAAGCAGCAGTTGCTACCAGGTAGTCCACTCGGACCACTAGTGGTCCGTGAGGTCTGAAAGGTTGGCGACTGCAGGTCTAAAGGCCAGTTCCCAGGGCAGGGGGTGTCCATTCAGTCATTCGATCAGACCTGACAGTTACTTTTACCAGTGCTCTTTACTTCTTCATGTGGCTTCGAGTTAGTTCCCAGCATACTTCCATTAAAGCTTGAATGGTTCCCTTTAGTATTTCTGTAGGGCAGGTCTGCTAGTGATAAATTCTCTTGTTTTTGTTTATCTTTTAATGTCTTGACTTCTCCTATGTCTTTGAAGGAGGATTTAGCTATAGAATTTTTGGTTGAAAGTCTTTTCTTTCAGCACTGGGAAGGTATCAGCCCACTGACTTCTGGCCTCCATGTTTTCTGATGAGAATTCAAGTTCATTTTATTGTGGTTCAGGAATTTCTCTTAATAACAATTTTCAGTTTGTTGTGCAGCTTTGGTTAAATGTTAGAATTCTAAAAGTCTTTGATTTTAGTTCATATTTTTATTGTTTTAGAGGGAGAGTGAGTTCACTAAAGTCCTTTCCGTCATTTTGGAAGTTGATCTCTTCATAATTTTAATTATTTTAGATAACATGTTTTAATACCTTGTAAAGCAATTTTCCTTTAATAATTATTTCCCTATAAGTTTGTAACTATTCGTACCAATTTGGGTAATTTTTCAGGTGAATGTTAGAATCATTGGCTCAAGCTCCAATGATAATTTCCAGTGGTCATTTAGGAGCCTACTTTTAAAATAAGTCACGTTTTTGGAATATTCAGGCTTCCCATTCTCTCCTACTTTAATGCTGCTCAGGAAACGTGATGAATTTTTTCATGTGGATTTCACTGTAGTTTTCCTAGGCATTTAAATTTTGTTGTTGTGACTGGGAACTGTGATTAATATGCCATGTTATTTTTTTTTAATATAAAGCAAACATTTCCTGGGGGGAATAAAAACAACTCATTTGTGTACCTGAGGTTAATGAAGTCAGGAGGGCTCTTTCAACAACTGAAAGGTTTTTCTGTTTTGTTTTTTCTTTGAAGCAACAGAGTATCTTTCTCCAAGTTAAATCTTAAGCAGAACCTCATACATAAAAAATAAAAGCGTAGCTGCCTGGTTGAAAAAGAAGATGAGGGCCCTACCTCATTTTCCTCAGTGGTTAGAGCAGTGATGGCGAACCTGTGACACGCGAACTCATTTTTTGGGTTGATTTTTCTTTGTTAAATGGCATTTAAATATATAAAATAAATATCAAAAATGTAAGTCTTTGTTTTACTATGGTTGCAAAGATCAAAAAATTTCTATATGTGACACGGCACCAGAGTTAAGTTAGGGTTTTTCAAAATGCTGACACGCCGAGCTCAAAAGGTTCGCCATCACTGGGTTAGAGCATTGGCCCATGGACTGAAAGGTGCAGGTTCAATTCCAGTCAAAGGCATGTACCTGGGTTGCAGGTTCAATCCCCGGACCCAGTTGGGGTGCTTTCCGGAGGCATCCAATACATATTTCTCTCTCACATCGGATGTTTCTCTCTCTCTTCCTCACCTTCCTCCCTCCCTTCCACTCTCTCTAAAAATCAATGGAAAAAGATATCCTCGAGTGATGACTATCCAAAAAAACTTAAAAAAGAAATGGAGGCTGGGGGATGGTCCAAAGCCCTGCAGGCTCTGCCTCCTCCTCGTTGCAGTCCCTGAGGTATTTTCCAACAACTGGCTGCTTGGTTACCTATCACAAATAGGAGCTCACCTGTGGGCTCCTTAGTATAACCTCTTGTTTATTTGTTTTGTTTTTTAACATTTCATTCTACTTCAAGGTGTTTTTCCATTTCTGTTCGTGACCACTAGCATACCTGAGTTTCAATGAGATCCTGCCTCCCTGAGCTAGGCCACCCCCAGCTCGTCTCTCGTAAGCCAACAGAACAGGAAGCTGAACATAGGCTTGAAGATGTGTTTTATGATTTCTGTGGTACTTTGTCACTATCCCATCCTGTGTCACAAAAGAGAGAAGTATTGTGACTCTCTGACTTAGAAATACAGGGCCAATTTGCAACTAAATAAGTAGGTGGATTATATTATGTGTGAATTTTACTCCAGCAGAGAAGAGAGATCTGAATGAAATACTGATAGATAAGAAGAAAGTGTTTCTGATAAGTCTAGAAGCATCTTTAAAACAAACACTCAAAAGAAATCTGTGTTCTAAATGTCTACAAAAGATTTTTTATTAATAAAATTTTTAGGATAAAGAAATTTAAAAAATAACTATAATACTTTAAAAAGCTATTGAGTATTTCATGTTTACAATGAGAAAAAACTTGAACCTTAAAGAACATTCTGACTAAACTACCTAAGGCAACAAGAGCGAAAGAAGATGGTCAGACCTGCTATATGTGTACTCATACGAGGCTTAAACACTGACTTTTTAAACAAAAAGCAAATTGTACTCATTGTTTCAAGGTTTGTGAGACTAACTATTGAATGACATCAGATGGCAATTCCTCTTATAGAAAAGAGCTTTCACTCTAATCCAGCCCATATATTACCCTCTATGGCAATTTGGGAATGGAATGATATCTAGTCCAGTTTTAAAACCAATTCAGTTTCTAAAGGGTTGGCACTAAAAAATTTGAAGTAATATATGCAGTATTTTAAAATAACTGAGAAATTATGACAACTTAAGTTACTTTCAGATATAAGAAGGGAGTGGATATACTTACCTCAGGGCCGTACAATCCACAAGGGCTATAGCCGCGAGGGGAAGAGGAAGATACTCATTCCGTACAACATGAATAGCATTCTAAGGGGGGTGTTACTAATTATAACTCAAACTGTCAGTTAAATCCTAATAATGAGTATGTATACTCTCCCCTCCCCCGCCCCCCACTGTGAATTTCTTCTCAGAAGGAAAATCAGAAAAGGGACTGAGTTCTGGAAAGAAATGGTGAGACTGTGGAACTCCAAGAGTGATGCTGTCTCCTCAGTCCCAGGACATGACTTGCATCCCCAGGTTCTGCCTTACAGTATCCTGGGTATGAAATATAATTTGTGTAATTTTCCTTGAAAAGCTCACAGTGGAGTCTGAGAATCCACTGGGGCCGTCAGTTTTTGTCCTTCAGTATCCTAAATGCAGACAATCTCAACATCCAGAAATATCCTTTGATTTGTTCTTCCTCTGAAATCGTGTGTCCTTGGGATCAAAGCCTCTTTCGTTGGCACCAAATAAAGCCCAGTGTGGAGTTTTGGCCATATAATCCTCGGTGCTGAAAGTCTTTGATCCACCACTGTCTTCATATTCCTGGATGAGCTCCTGGAAGCGGTTATAATCAATCCACGTCCACCATTCGCTATCAATCTTAAACTAGAAAGGAAAACAGTTAACAGGTCAGAATTAAATATATCCATTAAGAAAAATCAAATAAATACCAAAAAGTTAAAAATGAGCCTGATCTTCATCCCTATCGTGATAAAGAAAATTTATTTCATGCTTCAGATATGGTTACATATCAGAGCAAAATAGTCAGAGGAGAATCTCTGTTACCTTAGGACTCCAGCCAAACTGAACCTGAAAGACCAAACTACTGAATAAAGAATACATTCCGGAATTGAAAGTCAAGTTTCAATTGATATCTTGAGCGATATCAATGAAAGAGGATTAACTACGTTTTTGGCGTTATCAGGTGTTAATGGTCAAGCTAATTCTAATTTTTCTTGTCACTATTTTTTCTTTTATTAAAATTTCACTTTCAATTAGTTTACATTCAATATTATTTTGTATTAGTTTCAGGTGCACAAGCATATACTTTGCAAAGTGACCCTCCTGATAGTTCAAGTACCCACCTGGCACCATACATAGTTATTACAATATGACATATTCCCTATGGTTTACTTTACCTCCCCATAACTATTTTCTAATCATCAATTTGTACTTATAATTCCCTTCACCTTTTTCATCCATCCCGACTTTCCTTGCCTCTGGCAATCATCAGTCTCTTCTCTTATCTATGAATCTATTTCTGTTTTATTTGTTCATTTACTTTGTTTTTTTAGATTCATTTGTAAGTGAAATCATATGGTATTTACCTTTCCCTGTCTGACATATTTCACTTAGCATAATACCCCCTAAGCTATCGCAAATAATAAAATTTCATTTTACC